ACTCCAATGGGGAAACAATCTTAAAGCTCTTGCAAACAAAGAAACGTTCTTGCCCCCCAATGACAGTACAAACTACATCCCCCAATGAGTTGAACTCAGGTCGCAAATACGTTGCCTTCTCAAATCGGGAAATGCAATCTTTCTTCAAGCTAGCTGGCACCTCTGCAAGGACAAGGCTGCCAAACATGGTTGTTTTCCGGGTCGTCTCCCGACCAAGTGCAAGTGACTTTGGACTTTGTTTTGTATCTAAGTAACATGAGAAATAATTGGAGCAATGACATAAATATGCCAAAGCGGCATTCACAGCTGTCTGATTCCTGATGCAAACATCACAGCCATTCTCACGCAAGTCTTGCCGAAGAGTGTTGAACGCATCTTTAATGGCTCGGACTCCAGCCTCTGCTCCACCAATGGTCTGGTGACCTTGCGGCGGCGCTTTGACAAATGAAGCTGGCCTGTGGTTGATGGCACCTTTCATGAAACTTGAAACAGCTTCTTCTGCGTCCGTGATAATTTCAATTGGCTCGGAGCATTCTGTGGACATATTGAATTCGCCAAGCCAGGCCTGTATCCATCGGTGCGACAAACGAATGTCCGACTGGACAGGGGCCACGCCTTTCATTCCAGTGGTCAAATCTACCATGATTAGATACTTGAAAGACTCTTTGTTTGCTTTATCCAAGTTCAAGAAGAAAAAATCACATGCCATCTCACTGCTCAACACCGACTTCTTCTTTCTTCTGTGGTGAGTCGTGGACTTGGCTGCTTGGCAAGAAAGGCAATCTGCATGGAATGGAAAATGGCCTTGACGGCGGTGTTGTTCAAGCTTGGATTTATTCAAGTCTCGTTTTCGCAATACAGCTGGATGCTCTGAAGACTCTTCTGAAGGAATGGATGCAAATCCTGTGTTTGTGTCTACAATCATATTGGGCTCATAATCAAAAGGCTCGCTCGAATCCGGAATAGAGTTAGGCTCCACACTGAGGCTTTCACGGTATGGAGATTCACTATCGGAAACAGGCCTACTACTAACATATGCTGGGCTAGAAGAGGATGCAGCAGCGGGGTCAAGTTCTTCCAATGAAACATCTGGCTGTCTCTTGGTTGTCATCAACATGGATTTGTCAGTTTCGCTCAAATGCTCAACCGTGTTCACCGGACCATCATGGATTTTCCGACGGCTCCAAAATGTCTTCTGCAAATCGCGATCATCGGAAAAGTCCATGACCGTCTCAACTTCGTGAAAAATCCATGGCACATTCTGCCATGTCACCAAGTCCAAATTGTATCCTCCAAAGCACACTTCCAATTCACTTCCGGAACTGCTTAATGACCAACCCTTTCGCAGCAAGCTGCCCACTGACAAAACATTATTGGGAACATCTGCTACAAAAGCTGAAACTAAGCACTCTTTCAACATGGTGTCTGAAGGATCTTCTCTGGACGTCAAGCGGAAAAATGCTTTCAAGCAAACAAGGGAAGTTGGATGAATTGTCTCACCGCTTGCCGATGAAAACCCAGGGCCGGTTGCTGGTCCCAGCACTTGATTCTTTACTACTTCATAGTGTTTCAGGAAGCGAGAACTCACAACAGAGGCTGATGCTCCTGAATCAATGAGCCACCAGTGCAAATCTGATGGGACATCTGGCATCATTGGCATGAAAACTGCAGCTGACATGGTACAAACATGCTTGGTTTTACTCCACAAATCTGATGGGTTTCCAAAACATGAAAAATCAAAATCAGAAGAAAATTGTTCCTCCATGAGAAATGATCCGTGGACCAAATCGAACTGCTCTTCTGTGATCTGCTCTCGCTCAAACTGCACGATCGTGTCTTCAAACCAAGACTGAGTAGGCAAAATGGGATTCAAAGGGGCTGCTGCTTGCTTCGCAGCTGACGCACGGCTGCCATCTCCATTGGAACCCTGACTTTCAGCTGGACCATTGGTAGGCCACGATTCGCCTTCAGGCTGCTCAAGCATTTCATTGACTTTCTTACCTTTGGATCCTTTGCCTTTTCCTTTGTTCTGAGGACCTGTGCTGGAACCTTTCTCTTCACCAGATCCCTTTCCATCTTTCTTTGGAGCGGGCTTCCCTTCAAGCGGCTTGCCATCCTTGTCTTTCTTGGCATGACAATTTGAAGAGAAATGGCCTGTGCGACCACATCGGAAACACGTGGCATTCCTTTCCTTCTCTGACTTTTCACCATTGCCCTTAGCTGCACCTTTATTTGAATCTTTTGCTTTCCCCTTTCCTTTCTTACCATCTTTGCTTTTGCCCTTTCCTTTCGGCTTGTCATTCGTGTCAAACATTCCATGCATGTAGGTGGCAGAACTGCTGCCTGCAATCTCTGTCCAAGTTCTCTGGTTGGCTTCGTACAACAAAGCGGCATTTTTCATTTGCACATAGTCATGGCTTGGGCTATGCATGACAACATATTCCCTTACACCAACAGGCAAGGATTTGATGAGGACCATCACCAAATCACTAGGGAGCAGGGCCAAATCGGAAGCTGGTACATTCGAGGGCAACATCCGAGCAAGCTTGTTGTACCGGCTCTCCTCGAACTCAATTTGCTTGATTACCTCTGTCACTGTTTGAGCTTTGAAAGTTCGGCCAAGCAAAGATGTGCGGAAATGCATCAACTCAGCACGAGTCTTGATCATGTATTCTTGGACAATCCTTCGCAAAGCCTCATACCCGTTCTTATCTCCAGGGCCTTCTACATAAGCAAGCAGAATGATTTTGGCTCGCGGAGTCATCTGGAAGGTCTGGCGAAGCATTGCCATGAGCCTGGAGCTTCGGGAAATCTGGTCAGTTGACAAATCTTTCTTGTCAATTGGCAGCGGAGAAGTCGCAGAAAACTTCACTTCTGTGCAAAATGGCTCTGAAATCAAAGATAGCCAATTGCAAAATGAATCGAGCCACTGTTCCATGCCCAAAATCTCCTCCATTCGGCTTTTCCACCGATTCGACTCGACCACGGGCATGCTAGGCAGCCACTTGTCGCTTCTCTGCAGCGCATCTAGCTGTGTGGATCCAGGAACTTTAGGACCCGCGGCATTTGACTGGCCGCCCAAGGGGATCTCCGTACCATCGGGTAAGACAATTTTTACCCCATGTCCAGTGCTTGAGCTCGCATTCACTGCAGTATTTGGCATCGCCGATGCAAGTCCACCTGCACCTTGCTGAGCATTCACTGGCAATTGGATGGGCGGGTCTTGTCCAGAAGTAAAAGGACTGGCTTCTCCCATGGCACCGAAGCGATCCTCATTGGCAGCCGCCACTGACTGAGAAGCACTTGGAGGGATTGGAACTCTTTGGGCTCGTAAATCATTCAGCTCATGCTGCTGACGCTCAAGGGTGTCAACAAGAGTTTTCTGGTGACCTGCAAGTTCTCGAACTGCCTTGCCAACTTCTGCTTGTAAAGTGTCCATGCTCATTCGGACTCGACTGAGTTGCTCCTCGAAGACAAAGGGGACGGAGGCGTTTGCACTTCCAGGGGCATATCCGGTTGTTGCAGGCAAAGAAACTCCTCTTCTCGTTTGAGAACGGCCTCTTGGTGACCTGTCTCTGGCCGGCTGCTCCATGGCTGCAAAATCAGATTCTGCTAGGTGTAGGTTCCAAGATCTCTTGTCAAGATCAGTTGTCTGTTGTCAATCCTGAACCCTGGAAAATCCTAGGAGAAAACCAATTCAGGGGGGTTCCTAGGAGCACACTGGCTCTCGCTACCATGCGAGAATTATCACCCCAGAAGAGTAGATAATTGCAACTGAGAATGTGGACAACTCTGCTTGACAGCTCACGCCCTTTTTGTCTCACTGTGCTAGCAGAATTTACGCCTCCTAATCTTGAGCCAACATGTTGTTGGCGGAATGCTGATCTCATTGATCAAAGGAAGCACGATGCGGCTGAGCATGTTCACAATGCTGTGGCAACAGGGAGAGCTGAAAGCTTGGTTGCGGTCAAATTCTCTAATTGTTTCCAAACTCACATTCGGTTCAGACGTCATGTCTGCTTACTCTAGTTCGGAAAAAAAACTCTTGCAAATTTGCACGGCTCTCAAATTGGAAATGTGATCAAAAGCGGTTCAAAAACTTCGATCTCACAGATTGCTTGGACCCAGGAAACGCAAGACAATAGGAGATCATCAGGATGTTTAAAAAAGTCTCAACCGTGGAAACGTCGCAAAACGATTTCTGAGAAGCTTCAAACTCATAAGCTGTACCGCAGCTGATTATAAATTCCTCTTTCGCACGTCTAAATGTTTCTCCAAAAATGAAATCACTATGTGAATTCCGCGTTCGAAATCTCAATGCTCTGTCAAAGATTGAAATCACTGTTCCGCGTTCGAAATCTGAACGCGCTGTCAGGAAAGTTGGAAATCAAGCTCTAAACTGCATACGACTTGCTCAAATCGCACAAAACGTGTCACATGCTATGCAGCAAAAGACACTTTCACAAATCTCTGAAATCACTTGAAAAATTCGGAGAAAATTATTCCAAGCTGGCAATGCAAGCTGAATGGCATAGGATGAGTTTACAGCATCATCAAGCAAGTTCAGCTTACTGTCTTGGAGGAGGTTGTAAAGAGTTTTGAGGTGTTCGGAGGAGCGCTCAAAGGGATTGATGGCATGCTGAAAACAAGCAAATCTCTAGATCCAAGTGTCATACTTAAATGGCTGTCGCTTTGCTCATGCATGTGGGTATGATTTGATATAGTATCACGTGAAGTCAAATAGACTTGAAGACTTTGCTAAAAGCAAGTTTGTTTTTTTAATGTTTTGTTGGGGCAACGTTTGCTTGTAGCTTGCAGCAAGTGATTAGTGATTGGTTGAGAGTCCGCCAGCGACCAGACAATGAATACGCATCGAAAGAGGTGTATGACATTCGCACCACCACCACCACCACCACCACCACCACCACCACCCAACACCACCACCACCACCACCAACAACAACAACAACAAAAACATGACCGCAGAGCTGCAAAAAGGGCCTGTGGAGTCGAGCATGTACAGTTGTCCCGGTAGTGGCAAATTACGAGGCAATCTGGTAGCCTGAATTCGGGCTGAGCGTTGCTAGACCGATAGGAATTGGGGAAAAAACAGATACAGATCTGTTCAATCAGTGCTGGATTGATTTGTTTTCATTAAGACCTACGGGAAGACGAAAATAAACATTATATCACCACCGACCTGAATCATGGATGATGGCATATTTATGCATATTTAGTTTCATTTCTGTACGGTGAAAAGGCATCCCAGTCCACCATGGACGGGGATACTGCAACCATGCCTCTTGTGGAGCAGCTGTCCCTCATCTTCTGCAGCTTGGGGTGGCAAAGGCTCGGTAGCGTTGCGCTATCGCTGAATCTCAAGCATCACAACATCATCATGTGTCGAAGATGCTGAGTGATCCTTGATGGCGGAAATGCAGCTCTGGTGGCTCTCGGGACGGAAACTACAGTGAATGGTTACATGCTGAACTGATGGCACGTTCATCTTCCACTTATGTTACGGTGGCTATGTTCCAGCATTATTTTTTTTATGCAAATACATGCGTATACAACTTATATCCACGATATTTCAAAGGTACCTTCATGATCACAAAGAAGTGCCGAAGCTACCTTCACAAAAGAGTTAAAATACAGCAGAGCTATATAAAACCTACAAGCCGGTAGCAGCGACACACAGCAACCGCGATCCAAAACTTCCAGGGAACTTAGCGGTACTCAGCTGGTGGCCATTTGCAAATCATTGCAGTCACAGCACTCATTAAAATTACTTTACTTCGTGTGATCCCCGCCATGACATTTATACATTTTGTTACTGGCAAATCTTCTGGCTTCTATCTGACATATCTTCTGACATTCTATCTGGCATTCTATCTGGCATATCTTCTGGCATTCTATCTGGCAAATCTTCTGGCATATTATCTACTCAAATCTTCTGACATTCTATCTGGCAAACATTCTGGCAGGCATTCTATCTGACATTTTATCTGGCATTCTATCTGGCATATCTTCTGGCACTCTATCTGGCATATCTTCTGGACATTCTATCTGGCACTCTATCTGGCATATCTTATGGCATTTTATCTGGCATATCTTCTGGCATTCTATCTCACATTCTATCTGGCATATCTTCTGGCATTCTATCTGGCCGTTGAGGTCCAGCGGTGCGCACTGAGCTGGGAAGGTCCCAGGTTGAGGTCCAGCGGTGCGCACTGAGCTCGGCAGGTCCCAGGTTCAGGTCCAGCGGTGCGCACTGAGCTAGGAAGGTCCCAGGTTGAGGTCCAGCGGTGCGCACTGAGCTGGGAAGGTCCCAGGTTGAGGTCCAGCAGTGCGCACTGAGCTGGGAAGGTCCCAGGTTGAGGTCCAGCAGTGCACACTGAGCTGGGAAGGTCCCAGGTTGAGGTCCAGCAGTGCGCACTGAGCTGGGAAGGTCCCAGGTTGAGGACCAGCAGTGCGCACTGAGCTGGGAAGTTGGCGAAGAGCTTGGCGAAGAGTTGGCAAGGGAAGTGGAGGTGGAAGTTGATGCAGACATGGTCGAGGAGAAACTGGCGGAGGAGGCGGAGGAGGAGGAGAAGGAGGAGGAGGCGGAGGAGGAGGACAACAGCTCTGATAAATTCTAACAACCCTCACCTGGCAGGTGGGGAGCAAAAACGTTATATATCATTACCAAAATCATCATCAACATCATCATCAACAAGAAAGTCGTCATCATCACCACCATCATCATCATCATCGTCATCATCACCATCTTGGCTGGTGACCCTTCAAAAATCATTGCGGTTACATCATTCAACAAAATAGCTTCAATCATGGCAATATGTACACAAACAATCATTGAATCATTCAATATCACAATCATCATCACCACCATCAGCAATAACACCAACAACACCATCATCATCATTATCATCATCATCATCATCATCACCAACCACAACAACCACAACAACCACAGTTTCACCAACGGCATCAACAAAATAAGCATCAACAACAGCACACCGGCATCACCATCATCAACGACAACACCAACATCATCATAATCAACACCACCAACATCAGCAACATCACCATGACAACATGATCATCAACATCATCGACAATATGTCATCAAGATTCAAGACCATTACATTACCATCAACAACAACAACAACAACAACAACGACAACACCATCATCTTCATCATCATGACCATCATCATCATGACCATCGTCACCATCATGACCGGCATCATCTTCATCATCATCATTGTCATCATCGTCATCATCTTCATCTTCATCATCATCATCATCATCATCACCAGCAGCAGCACCATCATCTTCATCAACAACATCATCAGCAGCAGCAGCAGCCGCACCATCATCATCATCATCATAATCATCATCATCGTCATCATCATCATCATCCTCATCCTCATCCTCAACAACATCATCATCATCATCATCATCACCAGCAGCAGCACCATCATCTTCATCAACAACATCATCAGCAGCAGCAGCAGCAGCCGCACCATCATCATCATCATCATAATCATCATCATCATCGTCATCATCATCATCATCATCCTCATCCTCATCCTCATCCTCAACAACATCATCATCATCATCATCATCAGCAGCAGCAGCAGCATCAGCATCTTCATCATTGCAGTCCTCTACCAACTGGTGCAGCACAGAAACTCAAATTCCGAGGCTCTCATGGCTGCAGCATTCATTTGGATCAAGATCTTGGCAAGTCGATCGTGGCGATCCGCGCAGGCGGCAGCAGCTGCATTCAAAGCTCAGCCAAAATCACGGGAGCAGCTGGCGCTCAACATATCAAAAACATATATCAGCATATAAGTGGGTTGGGATCAGATTATAAAGGTCAAATGGGATCATCATCATCCTAGGTCCTAGGATGTCCTAGGTGGGACGCAAGATAAACAAATTAAAGCCACTTGAAACCCCTAACCAAAACAGTCTCTCGGCCCCTTCAGGAGCAAAGCTCCAAGGGTAGCAACAATGTGATCCACAAGGGTGGCTACAAATCGCCTACCGTACACCATCCCCTCCCTCTGGCAATGAACACCCTCGAACAATCAACACACATAAGCAATCCTGAAAAAAACAACAAAACACTTGGTTAGTGTGTTGATTCCGTTCAGTTTGACGGCCCATTGTTTGGGGCATGGGGCCAAACCCCATCCATGACTAGGGTTCATTGATTCCATGCCCGGCCCCATCTTGACAGTTTCCATGTCTTCTTGGCATTCAAGAGACACGACTTTTGCGAAACCCATGCCAATCTGAAATTCCCTGCGCAAACAAAAGAAGAGTCAATATATAATAGCTGGTGCGTCAATATTCCCCATCAAAAGATCCCAATCGTATACGGATTGAGTCGGGCTAAACTTCCCATCCAAGGTCTGCGCAGCTTGTGCCGTGTGACTCACAATGCTGTGCTGCGTTTCTTCGCCATGACACAGCTGCAGTAGGTCGCGCCAGCGCCCGGAGCCTCCACACTTACCCTCTGGCAACTACACATAACTAGATATGGAAAATCACCCTTTTCACTGGGTATATCATCTAGAAATGGGCCATCTTCCATAGCAAAGTTAGTTTACAGAAGGTAGGACTTAACTTGGTTACTCACGAAGGGTCCAAGATCTTGATGCAAGACATCCAGTGTTAAAAGGATTTACCGTTTTGTATTCAAAGATTAACAATGGTAATGGACAATCATGGAACTGATGATTCAAAGGAACATCACCCATACTGAAGGGTCTAAAAGGCTAAAATAAACGGTGTTTTTCTTCCATTGCCGGGTTACATGGTCAGAGGGTATAAACAGATATAAGCAGGATGATCCTAAGTAGGACTATCTACACGTCATGAAGAGATAAGAGATCTGAATAAGGACAAACAAATCATTCTGACTGGTACTAAGTAGTGTTTGCTGCCAGTTAAAGCAGGTAAAAACAAATTTAGTTGTGTTGATAGCCGGTAGTTTGTAAGGCGGGGGATTCCGATTGCAGTACCCCCCCCGGACAGGCACATTAGAGAAAGATAATTAGATGATACTAGGTGTTTGCCACGACCATCTTCTGATTGTATTGGGACCAGCACTGCAACTTTTACATGGCTGGTTGCTCTCTGAATCTTGCGGATTCAAAATCGCGTGCGCACTGGCCCTGGCGCCCCCCTGCCCCCTCCAAGAAGGAACCAAGCTGCGCAGCAAAGATGAAGCACACGCATTGTAGCAGGTCTCATCAGGAACTGCTCCTGAGCATGGCCTGTTTGAGCATCTGGTTACCGCAGTTCCTGGAAACTGCGGTAACCAGCTCCTTTTCTTAGCAAGCAACAACCCATCTACATTTATCTCAAAGCACGCACACATACCTAAATTACACTACAGGTACATGTGTCTCTGCGCTTATCCTTTTTGCTGACCACGCCAGGTTTGTCTCAGTGATGCCTTTGGCATATAATGAAGCAGTTGGTACCTGGCATCCAACACCTTCGATTACCAAGGTTTTCTGACATGAAATTCTCAGCTTGGCACTGGAAATCCATGGATATTTTTGGCAACCCAGCAATCCACCGGGCAAAAGAAGGCACGGCTGGTGCCAGCAGCAGACACCGCTCAACAGTTGAGACCCCCTTTCTGCTCTGCCGGAACTGAATCCACAGAGGGATGGGAGGGAGCCTCAAAACTACACATTGAAACGACCAGGTCACCTCACAAGTCAATCACCGGAAAAACGTGCAAACTGATATGTCATAAGCACATGTGTCTCTGCGCTTATCCTTTTTGCTGACCACGCCAGGTTTGTCTCAGTGATGCCTTTGGCATATAATGAAGCAGTTGGTACCTGGCATCCAACACCTTCGATTACCAAGGTTTTCTGCCAACATAATTCCCAGCTTGGCACTGGAAATCCATGGATATTTTTGGCAACACAGCAGCAGACGCCGCTCAACAGTTGAGACCCCCTTTCCATGGTCTCCTCTCTGGCCTGGCCGGGGGTTCAGGATGAATCAAGCGCATCAGTGGCCAAATTTTTCAAGGGGTGCAAGGTTAAGTTGTGACACAGTAGCGATGGTGTCTTGGATGTAGATGCGTGCAGTCGAAGTACTGGACCATCTTCTTCGCAGTAAACAAATTCTCCCTGCTGCCGTGCAGCAGGAGACTGAACGTGGCGCCACCATGCCGCAAGGAGTAGACTGCAAACAAGCCCGCAAGTCCAAAATTTTAAATGGGAAACCACATTTTCCAACAGCAATCTAAGAGCTGCAGCACCATCTTCCAGGAGAAGACTTCGTCCTGGTTTGTTCTTGCAGGCCAGCTTGAGGAACCGCAAGAAAACTTTCCACCACGACCATTTCGCCCGAGCCGCGCCTTTTGCCAGTTTTTGTGTCCCCTTATAGGGTCACGACAGCCCTCTGAGGATAGAAGGTGATGTCCTGGACCTGTTGAAGATGAATCCCACCTGGACGCAACATGGTGTGAAATGCCGTGAGGATAGTTGCTGCTTCAGCTATCTTTCCCGAAGGCTCTAGTCAACAAGGGACTGAGCGGAATCACTCTGGAGGGAGGTTCAATCTTCTGCCATGCTTTCGCTAGTTTCCAGCTTCGCCTCAAAGGCCCTTACTCTCACCCTCAAAGAAAATATGTTCAATCCAAGAGCTGACTTCATCTAAATCTTCGATGGCATCTACCGCGAGGTGGCACTCAGCAAGAAATTGGGTGACTTGGACTGGATAAAAGCAAACTGATGCCTTTTGAGAAGCTGGGGCGTCACAAGTGGCTCTTTCCATTTGAGCCCTTTATGCTGTTCTTTCCGCTGAGCTTTCGTTTCCCTTGCTCTGACCATCGTGAGGGGATATCTGCTGGGTTCTCGGAGGTGTGACAATAGGCTATGCACAGCCATATCCCGGCTGTCACCAGGAGAGCATTCAACTTCTGCAAGCCTTTCCTAAGGCGAAAGGGAGATGTTCCTTCCTTTAGCAACTACACTTGCCACAACTTGGGAGTCCACGAGATGGAGCACTCGCTTCCGATAGTTTGCCAGCTTCCGCAGCCTCCACTGCAAGCTGTTAACCGCCCCCTGGAGCTCCAAGTCGTTTATGTGGCTACAGTGCTGCCACTTGTATCCATGCACGATGCCCCAGCTAAAAAGGCTGGTTCGTAATCCTGCCCTGGGGTGAGCCTTGAACCGAAAAGGTATTCCCACATCCAAACGTATGTCAGTACCTGCTCTGTCCCCTTGTCTAAGGATTTCATGAACTAACTGAGCAGACATGGAAACAGGTTTGGTATCCCTACAAAGCAAGGAGAGTTAGTCCAACCAGGGGGAAGCACAGCCCAAATGAGAAACCAGAAAGATCCCAGTGGGGCGTGCTCGGCCATGTATTTCGGATGAGTTCATGACAGAGCCTGACAGAATACCTGAACAGAAAAAAAGAACATTATTTCCAATCATATCACATTCGACCCTAAACTGTTCTTTCTCAGAAAGACAGGGTGGGTAACCGCCATGAAGCACCCTGCCACAACAAATGTTGATCTTCATACTGGTACACCTGAAACTGGAACCGGACCTGCTGCCATCTCGCTATCGCTTGTGAAGATGCTGCAGCAATGCCCGCTGGCTGTAAGGGTGGTCGAGCTCGCGGCAACGCTCTTGTCAAGGTCGGTAAAGATTCTGTTCCTAAGTGAGTCCAAGCTGGTTCCACCCAGTGCACATGAGGGACTCGCACATCAGGGAGCTTCCACCTGAAGGACCCTTCGTCCACCAGCTCTTCCTGGGGGGATATATTCCAATCAACCCAGAAAAGTCGGTCTGCATACGCAGGGAAAATCATTGGCCATGACCAGCACTGGGCGCACATCCAGCACGGACGCAAACTCGCTTCTGCCCTCACTCATCATTGAGTAAACATTCTCCATCATAAGTGCAACCTTCCCTGGAAACCTGTTCTTGCACAACCTGTGACTTGAAGGGGTTTCGAAAAACAGCTTGGATCGCGATCCCTCGAGGCCCTGACAGGGGTTCCTGCAGCTATCAACAGGATGGCATAACCCAGGGACTTCACCAAGGACATGATGACCTCGTCCGTCACATTCTCTCCACTTTTCCAAGTTCGATGACTCCTGGCCATCTTTTTCTGACCAAACGCTTACATTCGACATCAATTTCGGCTGCGGCAATACCCACCACCTGGCATATGGAAAACGAGCCAGTGTGCACATGACTGCAACAATTCCATCGAAAAGGGACAAGACAAATCTTTGGGCCCTGGGGCCTGGGGCTCCGCTGTCGGCATCTCACCTGCAGACCTGAAAGGCATAAGCCGCGAGGAAGCATAACACGGGCTTTGCAAGGACAACATGTTTTTTTCTCCCCTCGTCTGTCAGCTGATGCGATACACATAGACCCCCTCCACTTTCAGAGGCATCGCTGGCTGACACCAGCCCACCAACGGGGCACCGCAAGTCCGAAACTGCCATGGGCAGCATGATGCAGCCTTTAGGCCAGCACTTACGAAGTAGGCTCATTAGCGGTCGCCTAAATTCAAAGCACCTCAGCAGCCTACCTAGGACCATCATGGTACCCTTTGCTTTTGGCCAGGCTTGGGCTAGCAGCCAAAAAGTAAATCCAATCAGCTCCAACTCTTTGCTAGTAGTGGGGCCGCAAGAGTCCCCTTCTTGCCAACTACTTCGGCACCCATTCGAATCACCTCCAGTTCTCGGTGTTGTGATTTCTTCTCCGAATGTCTGCGCCATTGCGGACATAGGCCAGTCTCTGCTTCTGCCAAGCACCGTTCAAGCACCGTTCAAGTCACCTGCCACCTTGAATACATCTTTTTCATCCTCCTGCATGTGAATTTAAGGTGAAGGCTGTGTAACCATTTTGGGGTGAAGAAACGTTTTGCATAGCCTCAAGCTCTACTAAATGGATGTACATGCATGCTCGATTTTCACTACTAAATGTGGGAACCTTGGTTCCGCTGAAGTGCAAGATTTTGATATATGTTCGAAGTCTTAGAAGACCAGCATGACCCGACTAACATATCAATTTTACCTCTCTACTAAATGTGGATCATGGGCCTAGAGATGTTTACTTGATTTTGATTGAAAAATCATGATTCTCTACTAAATGGTTTCTGGAAATTTCACTGTAAATGTTTGGTTCACTTTCCGGGGCCCAGGTCATAGCCTTGATAGGGGGAAATTCACACGGGGATTATTTTTCCTCAATGGTGGCAAGAATGTTCCTCTGATAAAGCACCTGAACAAGCCTGTACCATTCCTGCTTTGTCGCATTTATCTTTGCTGTGGGAACCTGCTTAGGCCACCTGTCTTGCGGCTTCAAGGTTTTTGCCGGGCCCCCCAGCCAATCCCCTACGTCCTTGTCCACTGCGTCCATGGCTTCCAGGCTTCCTCCAACTTCTGCAGCAGGTGGCCCCGGTAACAATTCTTCCAGGCGCAGTGGCAAAGCATGGCATGGGTCACTTCGTCCCCATCGTTTTGGTGTTTAACAGCTGGTCAAAAAGGGCAAGTTGCCATGTCTCTAATGGGTTCCCAAGAAACTGAGACTGCCTAACGTGGTCCCCAATCATTTCCAAAGCCTCTGTCTGTGCAAGGCTAAGGGATGCTGGCAGCAGTTCTTTTCCCAAGTGCCAGCCAGGGTACTCACCATTAATCACTGTTACCACCAGCGCCACAGTTGTACCGAACCCTCATGTGACTCATGTGTCAGTTTCTTAACTGTGTTGCCTGGGGAGCCGTTTCAAAACGCTTGCATCAACCACAACCAGCCATTGCCGGGTTGTTGGGAAAAGAGAAACTAATTTGGCCATAGCTCCTATCGAAGGGCAAAACTGAAATGGTATCAAATCCCTTCAGCTTGGCGCGTCAGCATCTCGGACACCTCCGCAGAGACAGGAAAAAGTTGAGTCCCTAAGTAACTGGACATTAAAATTGTTTAAAAAGCATGGGCAACACTTCGAATATCCCTAGGCCCTAGGCTCATCCCCTTGAATGCTACTAGGTGGACGAAGTTGCCCCTTGGAAAAACGCCAGAAGCTTCGTCCTGGCTTTGGCATGCGCCCCCTGCCATGGGAGGCGTCGTCGGCAGAACTACCACCTGAGCACTTGCTCATTAATGAGCTGTTGGATTTTTCACGGCTTTTGCCCTGGCTGCCACCAGGTGGGGGCTCGTTAGCCTGCATCAGCGCACCAGCATGCACTGGTCTATAGCTGCCTTCCCTGCCACTCCCTCAGCACCTGCTCAGCTTCTGGTCTGGTCATTGGCGTCCGTTGCATGGCATGCACCAGCCCCTCCATCACAACCTTGTCCATGCAGGAGTGCAGGGAACTTGCGCGGCAGACGTGGTGGAAGACGTTTGGCCCCATGTCGTCGTCAACCCACCACTGGTAGCATTCGTAACTGCAGCCAATGTAGGTTACTTTCGCCAAGCCACCGTCTCCATCTGCTTGGTGCAGCTGGTCCATGTGCACCAATGCTGCACCTTGGGGCTTGCCTCCGTCGTCCAAGGTCTCCATCAGGACCAGCCTGGACCAGCTCCCTGATGGAGGACCAAATCCCTCTGAAGTATTCTGAAGTCAGCTTCAGAGAAACCCTGCGCAACAGGGCTGGGGTCCATCTTGAACCCCTGCTCCCAGCACACACTGGGAGGTGTATCGCCTGCCTCCCTAGCGTCCACCAGGGGGGTTGAGCCTCAAAACTACACATATACCTCGCAAGCCAATCACTGGATACACATGCAAACTGACATGTCATAAGCACATGTGCATGTACATTTCCACTACTGTACATTATATACAGTAATTACATATATTGTGGATATAATTCCAGGATCTATCGGCTTTGAAGTGTTTGATGGATGTTGCTAGCTAGATTGTCACAGGCTTTCATATAATATAAGCGAGTGAAAGTCACGTTAGCAGGGTCAGTTTCATGATACTAATTCATTGTTGGATGGTTTCGTGGAGTGGTTCGCACTTCAAAATTGCATAGCAAAATTGACATAATGGAACACGTTATAAATCACTAGGCATTCCCGAAATATGAGGGGGTTCTAGTCTTGGGTTGAGATGCCGTCAATCAATCTCAAGAGTACCTGTCATCCCACGTAAACATCTCAGGAAGAATGCAAAGCATCTCAGATTTAGATGAGTCCCGGTGATGGGTCATGTACCCAATGTTGCCAGACTTGCGTCTTGGGAAAAACGAGCAGCACCCTGGTGTGGTTTTGACCCCTAAACCTACATGACCCACCCACAAGGGAGCCGCTGACAATACCACCCTTCCTGCCAAATGGGACGTGATCCCACCTTTGGAATTCCAGAAATGTATGGTCAGAATTGTAGGGACTATATATATATGTATAATGACTTCATCACTTACCCTCCAGCAAACTGACATAGCTGTGGACAATTGAAATTTCATAGTAGATGATTTACCTTCCCAAATGGTGATTTTTTTCACTAGCTATGTTACAGTAAATTACCAGAGAATATATGCCAGCTTGCGGAGGTTACTTCACGGCAAAGCAATGTCCCCGACTTCAAGGCTCGCAGTCGTGGAGCCCAGTCATACAGCGCACGCAGACCTCTGTGCAGCGTTCAAACCATGGGAAATTCGCAGAGCACCAACATGGGATGTTCAAACATGAATACCATCGGAATGTTTCCACGTTTAAGACCATACACGTGAGAATTGACTTTAGTGTTTCACCATGTTTGAATGTCAACCCGTGTCGCAAGCAGTTGATGAACAAGAACAATGGCAGTCAGGTTGCTAACTATGTCTTGTCCCTCGTTCGCTGAAACATATGTTTGTCTATGCGGGTCATCATCCGAGGTAGGATGAAACAATAAAACGACAATATGTTCAAAACGCCAACCAGTCAAGCTTTCGGAAGAGGACTTCAGAGCAATAGGCAAGGGGGTCATAATAAATATGTATCCTTGTTTAGGGGCAAACACAATGCCATAAACCCCTGGGGATGGTTTAGAGCTTTGGGTTTACCACATTATTGTGGCTAAATTGTATTTTTCACGAACGTGATATCGGAAATAAGGGCCTGGGGATGATTCCGTCACTAACCATCATTCCAGTGACGTCGCAGTGAGGTCACCACAATTCATCCAGGTCCTCATCCATTCTAAAGTACCATTAAAACTCCATCAAGCATTCCATCAAATCATCATCTGTATGAATTAAATCAATGGAATGATGAAAGGGAAAATTGACAGGAGAACCCCATATTTAATTGGAAACTCGATGGTTTCCTGTAGATTTTCTCTTAAATCAATCCATGGATTATAGTGACCTCACCGTGGGTAAAATACGATATTCCGGCCCCGAAGACAGCCCAGCCACCAGCGCTCCATGGCAAGGCTGTCACTAGCGTGGCCAAAGTCACCTGGAGAGAGCCGTGACTTTGGAGACGTATAGGGCGCAGGGCTCAAAATGGAGGATACCATAGGGATATCCTATGCATATCATGTTATATATATATATAGAAATGAAAATCATAGTAAATATCACGACATGGGAAAAATGAATATAAATTAGTATTTCTTATGAATTGATATTGATATATGTTTTTTTGATAAGGGTTCTCAACCACCCCAGCATGGCGCTAACCCTCCATAATAGCCTAAGAGGGCTAGTTGTGATGTAATATAGTGATGTTTGACAGGATATAAGGGCTATGATCCAATCGATGGGTTGGTGTTGCCGAGAAAATCAACAGTTCTACCAGCAAACACATGGCTTTTCGGCAGATTTTCCCATCATCCAATCATCCTATTTTGGAAATGGCAGCTTTCGCGGCATTGCAATGTTGTCTAACCAATAGTGATACCGTAGATGGACGAATTATTCAAACCCTTATACATACAGCAACCCCCCGCACCCCAAATATCAATGTTATTTTCTTGTTTTGTTCGTTCCTTCGAATGGACGAAATAAATCAAACCCCCAGAGCAGGAACAGCGCTACGAAACCATAACATTGAAATTCGGGGGAGGTAGGGGGTGGCCTATAACTCATGGATAGGGGTTTGAATAATTTGTCCATCTACTGTCTCAAGGGTTCATTTTTTCTTCTCTTTTTGCATTTTTTCGCATCTGCTCCCACACGAACTCAGACATTGATTGAACAAGTGTCATCACATGTCACCACTTGTCTGAAAAAGCATGCCCAGTGACAACGCCATAAAGGTGGATGATAAGGCACACCTACTTGTTGTTTGTTGTTGTTGTTGTTGTTGTTGTTGTTGTCGTTGTTGTTGCTGTGGTGGTGGTGATGGTGGTGGTGGTGGTGGTGGTGGTCGTAGTCGTGGTGGTGTCTCAAAAAAGTAACCCCAGTGACAACGCCATAAAGGTGGATGATAAGGCCCACCTTGCATCTTCGTGCTGTCTGCGACACAATGCGTGTACAAGTTTTTGTCAAACAATGTCACCACATGTCTGAAAAAATGCAACCCAGTGACAATGCCAGAAAGGTGGATGATAAGGCCCACCTTGCATCCTTAATATCTTCGCTGCTTCCATATAGTTGCCACTGACCATACAAAACCTGTGGAGTCCTGCCGATGGCACAACTTTTCTCTCTTCATCTTCAGCTGAGCGCCACTTACTGGAGTTGCTTTGAGGCACTTCAGGATGGGGCCGCCTCGCGTTGCGTGATGGCACAACTTTTCTCTCTTGGCCTTCAGTCGCTGTGAGCGCATTGACTTCTGTGACCGCCATGTTCGCCCAGGCATGTGTCAGCAGCAAAGTGGATGAAGCTCACCCAGGACAGCAGAACTATGATTGATGTGTTGTCTTGTGCTTTGTTACAGGCTTTCTCCTCGCGCAGCACACAGCGGCTCTAAGCTCTAAACCATTTCAGTGTACTGGACCAGGCCCATAGCATGGCTCACACGGACTTTGCAGGCACAGTTGCTGCCCGCATGAAGCAGCTTGGGTATGGCCAGCACGCAATTAGCAAAGTATTGCGGCCGCTTTCAGGGGCCGAGGCAGCGTGGAGTGCTAGCTTTTCCCACGTGACTCCTGTGGAGGAAGAGCTCATGAGGCATTTGCATGCCAGTGAGTTGGGCGTCAAGCGGATCGCCGGTGCCTTGGGCCGCTCCACGGACACCATCTCGAAGCACCTTTTCCGCAGATGCAAAGCAAAGCCAGCCAGAGTTGGCCGGAAGGGGTGCATCACAGATTCCAACTACAAACGCATCTTCAATGGATACAAACGCCTCCTGAAGAATGCCCGCGGCAAGGAGGTCACTGTCAAGATGGTGAAGAAGGAGCTGAAGCTCAAGTGCAGCGTCAAAACTTTGAGCCGTGCACTTTGGGCACGTGGCGTCCACTTCCGCTCATTGTACGAAAAGCCGGATTTGTCACCTCAGGATGTCAAGGATCGCCTTGCATGGGCTTTGGCTCATGCTCACAGAAGTCCAGCCCAGTGGGGTAGAGCCTTGGTTGTCAAGCTTGGTTCCTTCAAGTTTTAGGGCCAAAGAAATGATGTTGCATGTGTCTATGCTTTTGAAGCCTATACAGCTTCTTAATCTATTTCTCGTATACCCGTCTCCGACCTTGCAGACACAGGATATGTTCACGCTGTCATAGACAGCAAAACTTGCCAGGTGTACCACACGGGCAAGTTTCGGTCGTATGCTGCCCGTCGCAACGTTCGTGGTGCATACCGTGGGAACTGGGAAGGGAACTGGGAAGGGAACTGGAAGGGAACTGGAAGGGAACTGGGAAAGAGAAAGGGAACTGGAAAAACACAGCACTTCGCACACGCTGAAGAAAAGGAATTGGAAAAACACAGCATTTTCGATCACGCCGGAGAAAGGGAACTGGAAAAACACGGCATTTTCAATGGTGCCCGGGAAAGGGGATTGGAAAAACACGGCATTTCCAATCACACCCGGGAAAGGGAACTGGAAAAACACAATCTGAAAGTAGGACAAACACAGATGTGAAACAGGAAAGCTCACCTTCACAATATCTTTCAGTACATCATCATTAAAATCATCAAAAAGTCATCTTCGTCAAAATCTCCATCATCAGCCTTAGTTGACCAATTCTTTGATGCGATTGCTTGGCCAGGATTTTGGCTCCAAGGCTGCGCATTCTCCCCTTGTCACTTGTCGTCTTGCTTCCATGGCTGAAGTGGGCAATCTTTCGCCAGAAGCATCAGCTCCACAGGCTGCAGATGAAAGGCTGAAGGCTGAAGTCTGCGTTGCCATCAAGGAGCTGTTGCCACAGACAGACCTGGCAGAAGTTTCCCTTGCTGAGTTCCGGGCTTCCCTAGCAGAACACCTTGGTTTTGATAGCACGGTTCTGGAAGGGGACTGCAAGCACCAAGTCAATGAGTGGATTCGGGCTACGCTGCAAAGTCCTGCTGCAGCGCCACAGCAGCACATGCCAGAGGTTGTGCAAGGGTTGGGCGCCGAAGAGACGAACTTCAAGCACCAAGTTCATCTCCTCACAATCTCCCGTGTGCTGCCTGGCACGCTTGATTCTACTGACTTGCGGGACATTCAGGCTATGAGTCGCCAGGAGGTGGCTGACTGCGTCCGGCTTGCCTTTGACAATCCGGTGTATCCTCCTGGCACAGGTGGCCAGCGCCGGAGCAAGGCAGATGGCCTGGTGCAGAAGCTCGTGGTCTTCCAAGAAGAGCATTCAGATGGCAGCAAACATTTCCACGTTGCTGTCAAGCTGAACCGCACGAGAAAGTGGACCACGGCCAAGTACACCTTGCGGGAGAGGGACCATTTAGCATGCCACTTTTCCAGCAACCACACACAGTTCTGGAGCGCAGTCAGGTATGGATACATCCCAACTTTGTCCAAGCCTGTCGTTGATGCGCATCCAGTTTCGTGGTCTGCAGATGGAGGGTGGCAAGCTCTAGACCTTTTCGCTGAATCCCAGCGCCCCTGGAATGCGGCCATCTGGAAGCGCCGGCATGAGGAGGCTGAGAGAGCAACTGCATCAGAGGGCGGCAAGCAGAAGAAGCCGCGCTTCAACAAATTGGACTTGACTGCTCTCATCATGAGCCAAGGTTTGACCACCCAAGCTGCAGTCATGGAGTATGTCCAAGATCATGGCACAGAGCAAATGCAGCTTTTCGTCCACCAGCGGCAGCGATACCTCAAGGATTTTGTGGCTGAGGCAATGCAATGGGGCGAAGCCAGGCAACAAGCTGCAGCAGAACGCCAAAGTGAATGGTCAACACTTTGTGCCACTGCAGACAAAGATTGCCCCCACGGTCATGCGTGCTCCTACAACCACGCAGCCGCAGCATTCTTTGCAGCCAATTCCATGTCTTTGTCTCGTGTTGAACTTGCTGTAGCTCTCAGGAACATCCTGGTGACAGGCCCAGCAAAGACGACCAGAGTGCCAATGATTGTTGGTCCCACCAACTCTGGGAAGTCGACCCTGGTCCTTCCCTTTGATGAGTTGTATGGCTTTGCGCATGTGTTCCACAAACCTGCGCTCGGGTCGAGCTTTGCCCTGCGCAACCTACTCAAGGAGAAGAAGTTCCTCTTTTGGGACGACTTCCGTCCAGTTGAGTATGGCCAGAGAACTGTGCCTGTGACCACTTTTCTGAGTTTGTTCCAGGGCCAGCCCTTTGAGGTGCAAATGTCCCAAGCTTTCAACGATGGGAACACAGATTTTGAATGGCACCGGGGCTGTGTTCTGACAGGCAAGGCCAAAGACCTCTGGAAACCGCTCCCTGGCGTTGCGCCATATGCTTGAGCAAGTGGATTCGTGATGGTGCCATGGAGCATGACGCTGCAGCAGCCTTGAATGCCCCCAGCCTTCCATTTTCATTACCCCAAGGCACCAAGGTGCTGCAGGGAATGGATGAGTTGGCTGCGAAGGCAAAGCTGCCGCAGGTCAAGGCTGCAGCATTGGCCGAAGAATTGTTGTCTCTTGGAGCTGTGGATGTGGTTGAACTCAGCCGTGGAGATTGGCAGTCCTTGAGCGCTTTTGGCAAGTTGCTGCCCTTTGAGCAAAAGCGACTCCTGTCATCCTTGTAGGGCAGTCATACAGTCAAATTCAAAATGTTCAATGCACGTCACTGCACGTCTATCACCTAATTCATATCTTCGTACAATATGTGCTAATGTCGATCAAAAAGTGACGCTAACCATTCGCTATACACTCCTGCTGACCACCGCCCCGCGGACCGTAGATGTACGAATTATTCAAACCCTTATACATACAGCAACCCCCCGCACCCCAAATATCAATGTTATTTTCTTGTTTTGTTCGTTCCTTCGAATGGACGAAATAAATCAAACCCCCAGAGCAGGAACAGCGCTACGAAACCATAACATTGAAATTCGGGGGAGGTAGGGGGTGGCCTATAACTCATGGATAGGGGTTTGAATAATTTGTCCATCTACTGTATCTTGGCAATAGTAGAAACTTTTTTCCCAACTCCAGTTTTACCTCCAATATATACTAAAAGTCAATTATATAAAGCTTAACTTGATTTTAATATTACAAAAAAACTCATGTTCTGACCTTGTCCAGAGGGCATGGACAATAGTGGACCCAACATGGCAATAGTGGAAACTTTTTTCCCAACTCAAGTTTTTTCTCCAAAACTAAAAGTAAATTAGCCTAATTTAATTTTAGTATTGCCAAAAAACTCATGTTCTGACCTTGTCCAGAGGGCATGGTATAGTATCCAGAATAGGGTTCCAGGAATTTACTGTTGGAATGCTGACCCCCCCCAAAAAAAGGAAAAAATCACAAATTTAGGGGGGGTGGTTTTATTATTAGGCAGCCAACATTATAGAGTTTGTCTTGAAATAGAGTATCGGGAAAAAAGAAACCGTTTTTTCTTGACAAACTGAACCTTTTAAACAACAGCCATTATGTAAGTGCCATGGGATATCCGCCATTTCCAGGCCAGGCTTTGCCTGAGAATAGGGCACCCCGTTCCATTAAATTGCAGCTTTAAGGGTAACCCCTATTTTCAAACTCACCCAAACACAGAAAAAACATGTTAGTGAACTGTTTCCCCATTATGTCCCATTGACACATAAATATAGTATATTCATTGGTTATAGGTTATGCGGCTTGAATAATTTCAAGGTTACATATCCCATCCCGTAAAATCCGTTTAAATCACCATTGATCCAGGATATTAAGCTGAATCCCCAGTTTCATGGCTAAATCCACAAAAACACATTTTGTTCATGGTGAATCACGATGTTTTTTCTTGTTAAACAGCTAGTTTTCACCATTCGTCAGCTTGGTAGTCGCCTGATCCACAGAAGTCGGCAGCAGCTGCAAAGCGCAACACCATGTCCTACATAGTCACTTGGGAATTGGTCGAAACCTACTACTACCATATAGGGGGAATCAACATCCACTTATATCATGTTATATCAGCTATCTTAGGGTAGGGTGCCGGGGTTCTGAGTCACGTAGTCAATTGGGAATTCAGTTGATTGGTTATATATGTGCGTTATCTTGCTTGGGTATCCTGAACATAAAACAGACAATTTGAATCTCATCCATTGAATAACGAAGAAAACAAGTGGACAACCTAAGGAACGGTTGACGCCACAAATCTCCGACGTTACAGCCCAGAATAATCGTCTTCACCACAGACTCGCAACAAGAATCTATCTACCTAGGAACCCAAATGAATGTTTTTTTTGATCATACGGCCTCAACCATTTTTTTTGGTCATTACGGCTTACGGGTGTTTCCCAATTTGGGGGTTCAGCCATAATCACACACAATTGCTTCACTCCCCTTTTTCTGTGCTTTGGACCATCAGCTTCAAGCGGGCCCGTCATCTCGGCGAAGCTTCTCTTCGTCGGCTGCTGAGTGTCAGGGTTCGGGCTGTTGACCCACGCTTTGTTTGCCATCACAAGATACCTTTGAAGTACTCTCAATCCAATTGCCCTGGGGGAAATGCGTCGGCTGACGCGACAGCATCTCCCCACAAAGTCCTGAAATGAGACATCCCCAGGGAACGGAAAATACAACAGTGATGACACATACTAGGATAGGACCACATAACGACCAACATATCAAAATTCAAATAAATTCAAACTAGACTCCTCATCAGCCTGCACTGACTCCGCTAGGATGTTCAGTGTCCATTTGTTTTGGGCTCCAGATACCAAACGACGCCAGTGATGGTCCAACATGTGAAACTTAACATAGATCGGGAAGCGTGATTTTCGCTCAGTGAAGCACCTATAGGCAAGATTTGCATAGATACGTAACCACTTTCTTCCGTTGTTTCCAGCTGCAAGCGCTTCATTGGACGTCAGCCACAACCCAGACGAGTAACGAATTGAAAAAGTGTCGTTGGCCGCTTTGACAGCTTCAAGAATCATCAAAAAATACTCGTCCTCATTGAATTGATTAATCCTCCCTGTCAAGAACCATTCCACAAACCTGTGGTAGATATGCGTGTCAGCAAACTTTGACCAACCTCCTTCAGGTAAGACCTGGAAGCTTGTAAGGCCAATTCTCTCCGCAACAAATGGACCTGAATGAGGAAGGTTGCAACCCGGCCGTTTGGCCCACTGACGTAGGAGAACATCCAACTGGAAAATTTTGTCTTCCCTTGACCCCGGCAAAAGAAGCAAACATTCAGCCAGCACTGAAGCTATGAAAGTTTTACCTGCTCCTCCATGGTAGTTGTGCCAAACATCAGTCTTGAGATAGTCATGGGGACGATCGATACAATGAAACAATTGCAGCACTGAAGGTCGTGTAACCCAAGGATCAACTGTAGCAACCACAGACCATTGAGCATCTATGTTGAAATCTTCAAAAGGCCCCCCTGGCTTTGTGCCAGCCAAACACATCCAACAAACCCCAGGAGGAGATTTGTTTTCCTCTGACCTGTGCGCCCTTTGCCAATGCCTCGTCAGGTCTCCAACGGTCCTCAAAAACGGAAGATCCCCTTTCACACCTAAGCAAGCGATGTTCCATCTTTCCCCTGCGTAGGTAAACCCAATGTCTTGAAGTTTGAGGAGGTCATTGATCATCTTGTTGAGTACAGCCTGGAAATTCTCCTGAGTAAGGATAGGGGGCTGAGTGGGATTAAAATTAATGTCACAGGAAAGGACAACCAAAGGCAATCTAAGAGGATAGAAAATGAATAATATCATAGTCCCAGAATCTGGTTTCGCCTTGTAATGTTTCTTTGGCATTGCAACAAACAGCATTCGACTGTTGAAAGAGCTCCCTTGAAGGTTGATACCCATCTTGAGTTGACGAAGAGATCTAATTGGATGTCTTTTGAGGAAAGGTTTGCTGCCACGACCAATGGCCCCTTGTAGGCTCAATATCATGACACCCGATCGTTTGAATCCACGACCTTCATCACCATGAATGTAAACTGGAATTGTTCGTGATAGCGACAGCTTGTTTTCAGCAGCAGCTCGAAAGACTCCATAATCTGGCCATTCAAGGCTGTAACGTCGCCAAAACTCTAACAACATTGGTTGCACTTGTTCCATGGGTTGTTCCCCAAACAACTTGGACAAGTTGTTGGATTGAACCAAGTAGTCAATGGTGTCAAGCATACTGAGCACAGGGTAGCTATCACCACCATCCAAGTCAACCCAGGAAACCGGAATCTTCAACGCCAGGTTGTGCTTCTCAAACCTTGGTTGGGGCAGGGTTCAAAGTTAAAAAGTGCAAGTTGAAATGCAACCCAAAGCATCCCTAAAAAGAATAATTGCCGTAATTTTTATATGGGATCATATGGAGTCAGCTTCAGCTACGTCACAGTTTATGGCATTCGTCTTCTGCTCTCTTAGTTGGCACACTTGCAAGACGGGAAGTGATTGGGCAACTTGTAGATCCATAATGATCGACTGCGGCCTTGCTCATCTCAGCTACAGACTTGGCGGTGGCCTGGGCGATCAAAATCCAATCGTTGGGGGTACAATAAGCTAGAGATCTGAAAAGGGTCATGTGAAAGAGATCATGCGAAAGAGGTCATGTGAAAAAGATCATGCGAAAGAGATCATGTGAAAGGATTCATGTGAAAGAGATCTGGTGAAGGAGATCATGTGAGAAAAAAAAACTTTGAAGCAGGAGCTTTTGACCTTTTTCTTTGCCAGGGATCGCTAGCGTATGTCATGTAATTTTCAGCATCACGTAGGGCAATGGGAGCACCACGTGGGAACAACAGCGTGCACATTTAAGCAAATTTGCACAACAGCGCAAGCCATACTGCATGGCCTAGCCATAACGAATTGGCAATTGAAAAAAGCCCACTCAGCTGCCACAGCTCACATTTTGATCGGTTTCATCACGGTTCACTTCCAAGTTGATGAATTTCCAATTGCTAATGACCGTATCCAGAACCTGTAGTTGCTCCAAATCACGGAGTCTTTGCCTTGCTTCAAAGGCATGCTTTTCAAAAGGCCGTTTGGGTCCTGCCACAAACCCCCAGGGCAAGTCTGGGTCGTGAACACCCAAAGCTTCAAATGAAGCCTTCAATGAGGCCAGAATTCTTTCCCTTTTCTCAACTACACGGGCTCGAGTATCCATGGGGAGCTGACGACTAAACTATTCTGATTTTTTGTTTGTCTTTTGGGCCAAATCTCCAGAATGGTGGCTTGTCCAAAGTATCCAAATATAATTCATAGTTTGATATAGTTTGTTTTTTTTTCACCCTTTCCCTCTTGGGTCCCCGGCACCATTTGCAATGCACGATGCTGCATGCTTTCCCATTGGTCCAACAACACCTGGCATGGCCAAGGTGCTGATGCGATGGCAATGGGATCTACAGAAACAGTGGGAAGGCCAGGGATGGGTCTTTCTGGGCATGCTGCACTGCATGGATAAGATTTGTTGCACTACCCGTGGACGATTTTTTTTTCATGGAATTCACGCTAGGCCCAGGTGAGCATGTTCAGGGTTGACTCCAATGCAACCACACGCTTGAAAGGGCTGTGAGATCGATCCAAAGCAAATCATTTCAGAATTGCAAACCCCCATTTCATGAAGTTTGCCTTTACTTGGCAGACTTGGCTTTCGCCTTGCTCTTTGCCTTCGACTTTGGCACCTTTGGTGCTGGCAACTCAGAATTGGTATCGTCGTTCTCAGACTTGCGCTTGGTCCGGGCAGATTTCAAAGCCGGCCTTAGGTATGACCATGTGGTGATATACCGTGATATGTGTATCAGACTTTATAAGATCGATTCTACTTCAAATATATATGATATAATATGAATGAATATACATATGCACATGTATGTTCACACTGTTCTCACCAGAATTTTCTGGGGCGAATGCTGGGCTTGGACTTCTGCACGTGTAGCCTTGCTTCCCCTGGGACGGCAAAAAACATAAACCCCATGGTTCCACCACCCATAGAAATCCAGTTGTTCAGAGTGGTTTTAAATCAAGGCACAAGACTTCTGCGTATTCCAATTGCTTGTCAATGTTCTGAGCCAACCTCAAAGTGCCGGGGCTGATGGAATGTCAGTAATGTTTTTGCTATATACCATTTTATAACAATAGATTCAACATGATTGTGCCAAAGAAACGTATCAGACGGTTTTGTCTTCACTGCACGGTAGCGAGCCAGGCTTGTAGCCAATGCATCATAGTGAGTGTCCATGGCTTCATAGGCAGTCTTGAGGATCGACTTCACACTTAGGGTATGGCTTTAAATGAGATGATGCAAAGGTCACTCATGAAAACAAATACTGTTGATTCAAATTTGATTGTGTGATCATTGAACGCCAATCCTACCAATACTAAAGTGGCCTGGGGTTCTCAACTTTTGACTCGATGTCTCGCAACTTGGCCGACTTTGCCAACAGAGCTTCCATGGACTTGGTCAACAGCACATGTGTTTCCTGCTCTGGGTCATCGATTGATAGACAAAAAAATGTAAATATACTTGCATGACAAGGGTTCCCCCTACGATAAACGGTCAGTCCTGCTTCTCCACATCCGCATTAGGTGGCCTGGGCTCACTTCCTGGAGGGTCAGCGGCAGCCTCTTCCTCAGCTCCTCGATCCATGGCCGCGGGGTCCTCCAGGGACAGGGTCCTGAACTCAACGGGCCTGGCAGAACCACAGATTTCCTCCTCCTCTTTGGTTTGGGTATATCGCTTTGTCAACTCCCCGGACTCATCCACTTCGATGTAGTGCTGTTCGATCTTGGGATTATACTTCCATTTCCTGCCATGATTTTCCGGTAATCGGGCTATGATAACTTAAGATGCAATAAGTTGAAATCATATTGAAACATCCATAGCCTTCGAAGCTTTGGTCGGTCAGCTGTGTAAGCGGTCACTGCGTCAATCTCGCACCTCAGG